CGAGGGGCACACCCCCCGTCAGCCGAGCACTCTCGGCAGGGAACGGGCACACCCGTTCTCCGATCTCAACGATCCGCCGACCTCGCGAAATATCCACCCTCGCGACAATACCCGCGACAACACGCGTGCACGTTTAAATCGCCGATTTAAAGGCCCGCGACAACACGTGCGACACCGCCGCCGCCGCGCGCGCCCCGCGCCACCGAACTGCGCACCGCGATCAGTATCGCGCCGACCGCCCGAGCGATCTCTTATTTTGTATTTACCATTGTCCGCGCGCCGAACGCCGCCTCGCCCGTCTACGGCCACGAATATTTAACGCGACGATTCGGTGCATTCCATCGCACCACTCTTAGTTAAATAAACATCGTTATTTCTTATCAATCTCGCCTCACAATTTAATCGCGCCTTTCTGTCTCCAACGTCCTCGCTTCTCCTCCTGGCAACCGACTGACCGCTCTCCGCGCGGAAAAGCGAGACCGTTATATGGCGCCCGAACAGGGACCGGAAGATAGTAAGACCGCGGAGACAGGAAATAAAAGTGAAATGGCCGATGACGGGATAGACCGGTTAACGAAGGCCGAATTGCAGGAACGACTCGGACAAATCCAACAAAATACCGCCGGGCCCGTCGAAGCGCTACGACAGCGCCTGCGCAGATGCATGCGCGATCATCCGGGAACGTCTCTCGAGCCACCCGCGCTGACACCCCTTGCTTCCCCCGTATATTCCGTACTCCCCGAATTTCCGATCCGTATACCTGAGTTGCCACGGCCGGCCGAAATCATGGGGCAAATGCGTAAATGGGGCTGTTTTTTCGACGGACGCGATCCGATCGGGTTTCTGGAGCGGATCGAGGAACTTGGCGAAACGTGCGGTTTTTCCGAGCAACAACTGTTGACCGGTATACCCGCATTGTTACGGGGGGACGCGATGTTATGGCACCGGAACAATCGCCAATACTGGTCCGCGTGGGAAACGTTCCGGCAAGATTTCATCGCTCAATTTTGCCCGCAACCAGAAAAAACCGTCGCGCTGCGTGAAATCTACTCCCGCACCCAGAAACCCGGCGAAACATACGCACAGTACGCCACAGCCCTACAAACGCTCATGCGTCGCGCAGGGAATTTCGGAGAGCGGGCGCAGACCGATCTGCTTTTCGCCAATCTCCATCCGGATTATAAAATCTACATCCGTCGGGAGGATGCCGCGAACCCCCGCGCCCTGCAGGCACGAGCGAATACGAGGGGATCCAACGACAGCGACAGACGCTACGAGCTACCG